ATTTATGGGTAAGATAAATTCTCAGCATGAGGCAATAAGTTAGATCTGATAAAGAGAACCAGGCTGGGCAGGGAATATTTAAACCATGTAATCCTTTATCTCAGCTGAAGCTGGGGTGTGTGTGGCTTAAAAATGCCTTTAGAAACAAAACAAAAAAATAATATTCTGAAAGAGAGAAATAAAAGAGAAATATGGTGGCTTAATGAAGTTAATGTTTAATGAAATTGCACTTCTGCGATTCTGGTGATGCTTATTTTGCATTTAGCTATACCTCGGTGACTGAAAAACATTCAAGGTCAGGAATGTAAAAGCACAAGATGCTAGATGTTTCTCTGCAACTTTCTAGACTAGAGAATTCTCAAAAATTCAGGTAGACAAAGTATGCACAGCTGAGAAGCTGCATCTCCTGGATCCTTTACACAGATCACTGCCAGTGATCCTGCTGGCTGCACTGCAGGGTGACTTGGCCAGCTGCAAAGTGCAGCACTGCTGCAAGGTCAGCTGGAGGCTCACAATACTTGGAGATCATTTGGCCCTTGCAACAGTCAACCATGCAGATATGCAACTGTTCTGTTAAAAGCTAATTTAGGAAAAGTAAAATCCGAAGTGCTGAAAGATGGGCAGGGCCCCTTAGCTAACGTGAAAAGCTAGTTTTTCTGCAACAAACGGTACTCATACAGTAATTTCATGATGGAGCACCTGTTTGTTGCAACACAGTTTGAGGACAGCATTTGGAGCTGATAGCAATGATTAGCTCTTTAGTGCGGCTTTGAGTACTTGGCAACAGAAGACGGATATTTAACAAGCATTTTGACTGTTGTCCCAACAGTGGTAGTTTTGTTCCCAGGAAATTACCCTCTGGCAATGATAATGTGGAAACAGATTATTAGGAATATACTTAATATTAATCAATAATAGCATGTTTTTTTTTTTACCTAAGAATAACTTGTTTATACACTATGACAGCTTCAAGACAGATAAAGCCTGAAACTGAATTGTGCAAGAGGGGTGTTCAGCCATATTCATTTCAATTATTAGAATAAGATCTAATAGGAGGTCATTACCGAAACATTCAGCATGACCATGCATGCTGAGATTGGCCTCCTCGCTTCCAGACCTGTTATCACATTTCTACATACTATTATTAGACTTTTACGCAGGATCTGGCCTGTGAATTTAACCTCATACCAGCAATAAATTTTACTGACCAGTCTTCTATACATTTGGGGAACACACACAGAGGTTATGCAGTACACAAGAGACGAGCTGTCAAACTAGGTGCAGCGCTCACAGGACACTGCGTACGGAACATTGTGGGGCCAGCCAGTCTGTCCTATAGCTGATCTTCGAGGACATACCATGCCGGCATGCAGGTTACTATCAGAGAAGGCTGGGTCATTAAGCAAAAGTCCAGGCGTGCAGAAAACAGGCAGTTTACAGTAACTCTCTACCCTTCCATCTGCTCGGGATGCCTCCTGTGTGAATGCAGCCAAACATTATACGTGAGATTGGCTCTTGGAGATCAAGGTTGCCTTTTGAAAACAGCCCGAGCACCTTGAACCGACTGGGCTGAAAGAAAATACATCGATTAGCTATCAGATCATTTCGACATGGCAATCATTGCGGCTTTGCGCAGGATCCTCCCAGGCTGCCGATTCCCCTGCCAAGCAGCCGCTGATGGATCCCCAGGCTTCGCAAACAAAAGCCACGGAAACACTCCTGGGGAGGGGGTCGGCCAAGCGACGTCTCGAGTGGGCCCAGCTTATCGTCTCTCTAATGGTGAAACCGTCCACAGCAGTGGACAAACATGTTTGCTCTCATCCCACTTTTCAACACACACAGGGAGGGAGTGCTGTGAAGCTTAGATTCTTTTCTGTGTGCTAAGTAGAATAGAGATGCTTTATTAATCCCTTTGGGGAAAATGTCTTTGACACATCTTGCTTTCCATACAGGTGAGAGCAAACTTGGGGGAACTGGCAGTTAACGGCCTTGCTTAAGGGCCCGTGATCATGTGACTAATCTGCTGAGGCAGGGCTTCGACCAGTGATGAGATAATCACAGGCAGAGAGAGCAACACATCACCCCCAAAGTCAGTGATGGGGCTGAGAGCCTTTTTGTCCACTGCTACATTAATGACTGATTTGAGACAGAAATGATTATGCATTTTTCTTTAACTCATTTTCTCGTTTATATAAGGTCTGTTCATCCAGCCACATCCTTGACTCGCCATCCAATTACACCTAGCAGTAATTCTCATATTTGGACCAGAAGTGTTGTTGTCTATAGAGATACATAGGCGGTGAGGCAGTGTACAGTGCGGACAGCCCCCTGGTGCCCCGTTGAGTTATAGAGAGAGGGACACAGCTGGCAGAGCTCATCCTGGGGTAGAAGTGGACCCCCCCCCCCCTTCGGTTGCGGGTGGAAACGCAGCCGACGTGCGAGAGCCGCAGCCTGTAAACAAAGCAGTCGCTCAATGCCACAGGGACAGACCACAAATAACAGCTATTCTCCATGGTCTGCATCTCTGCGTCAACATGCTTCTTTTGGGCTCGTCGTTCTTATTGTTGCCATTGTCACTGCTTCTGTTTTTATTCATATGACCTTAATAGTAAAGACCTCAATTTCTTTTCCCCTGCATCAACCCTCCCCTCCCCATTTCTTCGTTAAAATGTTTAGGAAAAAAAGTAATTACGTAACAAGCATGCAAGTTTACTCTAATCATAATCAATCCTTTATACCGTATTTCTTTATCTTGAAAATCACTGAACTGGATGCTACTCTGAAAAATCAGGAAACGTGTATAATTCATGGTCTAACAGAAATGCCAGTCCACACACAGCCCTACATTTTGTCCTCCTGCATGGAGGTAAAAATCCAGTGCGAGCACTCGTCTCCAGTGTCTGCCTCCTCCGGTCATGTGAGCAGTAGAGTTTAGGTCGCCCGTCCTGCCATTTGGAATCGATGCTGCAGCTGGCATCTCACCCAAACAACTCCATCAGCGCTTTCACTTTATTTCCACTTGTCCAAATTGCTGGGAAGCAGCAACTGTTCCACCACCCCCCAGCATGCACACGCACACACACAGATGGATTAGAGCCACAACAGGTTTACACGCCGCACATCATTAGCTACCCTCCCTCAATATCCAGCAAATAACAAGCAGAGCTCTCTTTCACCTCACCATCCATTACACACTGACACTTTTACTGCGACTCCGGCCCCCCTCCCCCACCATGCTCCCACACTGAGCAATAGAGCTAATTTAGGGGGAGGGGAATATGGAGGCCATGCTGACCAAATCCATGGGAGAAAAGTAAAGGCTGACCAGAGCCAGCTGGAAGCGTGATGATGTTTAATTTCATTGAGCAAACATGCTAAATATTTGGGCCAAATGCTAAGCTAAATACGTCAAATGCGGCTGAGTGGAACATGACAGCGTTGCGTGTTTACTTAGGTAATGATGCAAACATTTATACATGCCTATTTGTATGCAGGTAAATTAATATAATGTGTTCAGAGAAGTCAGCGATGAAAAATCACCTTAATGGCACGGCAGTGTGCATATGTGTGTATATACTTTTGTGTGTAGTTTGTATTAGCCGACACATGCATCACTGAAGGGAAGTTCTACATTTCATACGTGTCTTATTCAGGAATTCTGTGGCGGGTGACAGATGCAGGGTTATCGGCTGATCCACAGGGTTACACACAGGCTGCCCCCCCCCCGTCTGCCCGGGGGAACCTCAGAGGGCCCGGTGTCTGTACTGTGCAGCCACAGAACCGCCTCATTCTATACACGTTTACAGATGAAGAAAAAGAGGAGGTGGAGTCAGCAGCACAGACACAGGAATAATTATCACCTGGGAATAAGCGAGATACATCAGCAGGCAGGCCCCCGCCATCGCTGAATCCAACTCTGTTTAAATGTAGGAAAATTACCTCCTGTATTGTGCCACAAGGTGCAAATGAGCTTTTTCCGCTTCTGTGATTCTCTGCTTTTGTGACTGATTGATGTCACCTGGCACTAACCCACAAGTCGGAAATTGGTGAAATAAAGCGAGCTGATCTGATATTGCATAAGCACAGCAGGGTCGGACTGTTCAGTCCATTTGGGGCAGCTGCGGAACATTTCGAGCAGCCTGCCATTGGAGATGCTTGTCACAAAGGAGGTTCCAGGCTGCTGGCCCATCCAGCCATGAGGATGCAGGTCAGCTATATCGCAAAACAGGGCTGCTTGATCGGTGAATACAATTATATAGTATGTCTTGTGAAAGGAGACCATTGTTTCAGCAGAATTCCAGGTCAGTGCAAAGTATGTTTAAATTGCTTTAGAAACTGGTCTGCAGTCTCCGAGGCTTCATGAACAGGGCTCGTACCGCGACTGACTCTTAATTTGCCTGCCACAAAAGCAAAATGTCGTGAAGTCTGCATCATGCCATTCGTGAAAAGCATCTGTCGTGTCATGTTTCAGAATATCCTTTTTTATTTAAATATGCCATATTGTGGTGTAGCTGCCTCCTTCCAGCCGTAAGCAGATCACACATCATCTTAAGATGACTAATAATTTAAACATTTTTCCGATGAGATATTGACATCCGAGTTATTAATAGAAAAGTATATCATGTCCCTAAATGTTCCGTCTGAATCAACGTGTCTTAGTGTAATGAATAATTATCAGCTAACTATGTGAATCATATTCCTTAAAAACTGCAGAGTGATTCAATTGTTTTATCGCTAGAATTAGAACATTACAAAATTACAATTTTCTGTAGAACTAGAAGGCGTATTTAAAAAGGATAGAAGTTGGGGATGGGCCTGAGCGATGTCACTGACACTATCTAAGTGGTTGTGAGACTGTAGCTGTGCAGTAAATCATGTTGGTGTAACTGTCATGAGCGATGATGCTGGGACATGCAGGCCAGCCGGCAGCGTAACAGAGACGCCCATAGACGCTTTTGGGGTTCAGTGCTTTAATGGGCTTGTTCTCCGTCTCTCCACAGAAAACACAATGCCGGAATGCCGATGGCAGACAGCGAGCCTGGAAGCACAACATTTAATATACACCACCACAGCAGAAGACGAGAAGAAATCACACAACCGCAGCAGCGTTCCTCAAAGCCTCTTCCACCTCTCCATTCCTCTTTCTATTCAACTTTTTTCTGTTTCTGAGCAATAACAAGAAAAAATAGACATTCAATTTCAACAAAACAGTGCTATTGAAAAGAATATTTTCTCTTCAGGTGAAATTATCTACGCATGTTTGATTAAACCAGAAGAACATCACCCTATCCCTGGGCAGCCCTTGAAAGAATTACTCCACTGGAGGACTCCTTGTGTTTATCATCACATTTTATTGCATTTTTTTTGTACACATTACCTTTTTATCTAGGGTAAACATGTTAGACCTCCTTACTTAGTGCTAACAGTTTGCATAATGAAATAACTTATAAGCAGTGTTCCTTAATACCCAGGTACATTAGCACATAAACTCCAAATGAATGGCATAGAATAGAGTGAAATGGACTCATGTACAAGCGACTGCGGCATTTCATAGTGGATTATCCAGTATTCCTTTCGATCAAGGTTTTCATACCTGTATATATTGTAAACAGGTCTGCGTTGTCAATTTTCTTTAAACTACCATGAGAATATATAATTCAGTGTGTTTTCTATATCTATATTGGAATATATTGACGTAAACAGCTAAACTAGACTGTGCAGTTTAGATTTTCACCATAAAAATTGTGTAAAATAAGACTTTGATTTGGAGGGGTAAGAATTCCAAAGCAAATAGCCCCGCCCCATCAGCAACAACCCACTGGAGTCACGAGTTTCACAAATGTGATTTTTCATCAGAGCTACACCCTAACAATGACCGGCAAAGCTGAATGCAAAAAGCAGCCTTGCAGAAGTAGGCCTACAGACAATGCGAGCTCCAGAGATGGAGATGGACAGGAGAAAAGGATGCCCTTCACCCAGAGGTGCTCTGCATTTCCCATCAGAGCTGAGCACTGACCCTGCCAATCAACACCATCATGTCTGTAACCAAGGTGTGTGGAAGCGTTTACTTGATGCGTCTGGATGAATTCCAGGCCTGGCAGCTTCCTCATACAGCACAGTCCAGGTACTCTGTCTCTCCCCTTCTTTGCGTCCTCTTGACTCCGGTGGAGTTGGTCTGTGGTGGGCTGGAGCTAAATGGCCTGCGGACCGACCCTTTGCTGGACCAGCTGGGCACTGAGCTCCCATAGGCTGGCTGCCGTGGCTTCGTTCTCAGCCTCCTGGGAAGGCAGGCAGCGGAAGCAGTTGTTGAAGTACATCCCACCCAGGCCCTCCAGCTCAGGAGCCACAGCACAGTATACAGTGGTTGCCGCTCCCTGTTGCTAGGATAAAAGAAAAAGAAAAAAAAAACACGTGTTACAACCCGACTGACCCACACAGAGGGGAAGAGCATGAACCAGAGGAGCGGTTCAATCAAGGAAAGGGATCTCAAGCACACCCATGTCACCCCACCCTGCTCTCTGCAGTACAGACCGCATCTAGCAGCACCTCCTGCATGACCCAAAAGCTGAGGTCTACAGCGGCCTAAAGGTGAAGTCCAAGCCTGATCCCCAGGAATCGGCTAAACGGTCATGGAAAATTGCTTTGTATGTGTATATAAATCTATATATGTACAGGAGACGTGAATTAGCCAGCGTACATGCCGATATGTACTGTAGATAAGCCAGTGGGAAATTATCATAAAACTGCAGGCAGAGGTTATTGTTGTGGACAGAACAGCTCAAGTCTTCGTATGAATGGGCACAGTGGACTGCAGAGACACTTTCTCATTCTCTGAGGCTCTTTGATTAAATTAGGCTTTGGGGGAAAAGAAGAACTGCTACAAATAAAGAAACACACCAACTTCACCAGAAGATTTAACTCAAAGCTCAAGAGCAAAACGCAGGATAAAACAGCAGATAAGTAATTTGATGAGCAGCATAATCTGGCATCTTTGATGTTGCGCAGAACCCTGCCAAAAAGTGGACTCAGGCACTCCAATTAAGTGCCAGACTGTCTGTTCATCTCCCGTCAAGGGGATTTACACATGTCAGCGAGCCAGGGGCAGCCGCTGATTCTGCAGAGGACTCCTCTGCTGAGCTGGGAAGCACGCAGCATGACGCGGCTGTAGTGAAGCCGGGGGACGCAGCGAAGCTGGCCACAGCGAAGCCGGGGGACGCAGCGAAGCCGGGGGACGCAGCAAAGCCGGCCACAGCGAAGCCGGGGGACGCAGCGAAGCCGGGGGACGCAGCGAAGCCGGCCACAGCTCGCGCCGTAACTCAGCCACGACACTGTCACTCAGATGTGCTGCATCTGTGTTCCCCCGGCAGTGACCTCCGTGGTAACTAGACTGCAGTGTGTGTTCAACCAGGTGCTGTAACTGTAGGTTAAACGTCGGCATCCTCCTCTGTCTCTGGCTCAGTGACCTCCTTTTATCTCATCGTACTGCCGACCAGGTCAAGGCTCCCTCATGACTTCCCTCTCAGCACCAAGGCAAGCAGACTGGTCACAGTTAAAAGGACATTACAGCTGCATCACAGCCAAAGCTGATGAGAGAACTGCAGAAATATCAGAATGCTTTGTACCACAGCCTGTGAAAAAGGACACTCCTGAAACACCGTTCGACAAAAATCCACATCGGATAGAGGTTGAGATGAGAAATTGAGGGCGAGATGTTTTCTTCTAATTCTTCTTTTGCTTTTAAACAGTTGTCTTAGCTGCCGAAGTGGCATTAGGAATGAAGCGGTGTGTGCGAAAGGAGGCAGCCCTCGATTATCAAAGGCCTTGAGCTCTGACTGAGCCGCTGGTCCCCCAGCCGCGGTCTGACAGGGACTGCGGGTCACCCCGCGGAAGCCTTTCAACAGGCCGCTACAAAGGCCTTCACCACGTCCGAGCCGAGCAGCTGGAGTCCCAGCTGGCAGAGACGGCAGAGCGCCGCCGTAGGGAGAAGAAAGCAAACATGCTATAGCCACATCACGAAGGGGGAAAGGCCACTGAAGAGCCCCTCGCCTTTCTTCTTCTGAACGCTGTGGCGTTTTGGCTCGTTTGCCATGTGAAACGGACTAACACGCCACTCAGCCCTCAGACAGACACCATGTTCTTATACGTCATGCTGCAGACCCTCCACTTAACTGGCCAGAAACAACAAACTACAGTTGTCTTGTAACTGGGGAGGAGCTGCTTTGATTCTGCTTGTTTTAGCATCCAGTGGTACTAAACGGACACAGCATGTTGTGATCTGACCTCACCTACAGCTCAACACATATTCCGAGTGGAGCAAGTCAATGCTGATCTCTAAACAAACAAAGAAAAGGTTATTTTAAGTGACTCTCAAAATAGAACTGTTTGCAAACGGTATCATAGCTGCAATCACAGGTCAACATCGACTGCTCAGGTGAAGCACTGGGTGTGTGATTTCTTTTTTAAAGACAAGTATGCCAGGGAAGTATTATTTAAACAAAGCCCTGATCAAATCTCTCCTTCCAGCCCACGCACACTTGTAGTGTTTCCATTTAATGAGGTTTCGATGCCATCCTCTATCCACCCAAACGTTTGTGTGCTGTTGAGGTAGATCACTTCATCAGTCTTTTTGTAGCATATGGATCCTGTTTTTGGAGGCCTGTGTGTAATAAGGGACCATCATGGCGCTTGTGTCGGCCCACACAGCAGCACCCCAGCGGGGAAAGGTTAGGGATGCTTAATAAATTACTGCTCTCTCATTGAGAGAGCTCCCTGTCCGTCTTCATTAGGGGGTGTCACCAGACAAGTTCGGTGCCATTTATTGCCTGCCATGAAGCACGATTGGTTCCCGTCAGAGCCAGGTCCAGTGAAATCCACAGGGCTGCATCGGTGAATGGTGCAGGGCCCAGCCTGTGCCCAAGCACGCAAACCCCAAGTAAACCAGCTCCTCACACAGGAAACTATAAATGAAGTGCTTTGTGTATCCGCTTATCTCACAATATCTCGTTTTAATTGCTATGATTATTTCGCTGCATTTAGGTTAATTACCTAGAAGTAGACATACTGTACAGTATGAAACACTTGACAGAAATACTTGACAGTTCTGTTTGCCTTGGGGGCTGTAACATAAAGGTTAACAACAATAAATGAAACACTCATGCTGGTAATAGAGTGATTGCTGATTATGGGCACTGATTGGACAGTTCAGAGGGTCATTTGGCCATTGGTTAACGTATCCTGCTTGGCAAAGCAAACACTCTGGATTGATGTGAGTAGCAGCTCAGAGGACCGTGGTGCCCAGAACAGCCACTGAGGGCCTGAAATGCCAACAGGAGGTCAGTGACTCCCATGCGCTGCTGACACTGTTCAGCTGCTTACGAGGCTTCTCCTGCGTTCTCCTACCATTTCTCCTGCCAGACTGGCAATAAGATGGACGATACCAGTCCCTTGACAGAAAACTCCCAACCCTAACTATGAGAAGCCAGAAAGAGAGGAGGCTACACCAATATGGCCGCCCAAGGCCTGCCTAACTCTCTGGGATGGAGACCTGTTGCTACATCAGACTTTCAGAGAGCCCTGGTTGTCTGCAGTTATAGCTCCATCACTCCAATGCACTTCAGTATTACAGCCAGTCAGTCAATACCTGAGCTGCCCTCTCAAGTCCAGTCTGCAGCACTGCTGTGTAACCATGGCCGCGGAATCTGTAGCACTCGCTGTGTGCCTGGTTAAGTGCAGCCACCAGATCTTTGTTGTGCATGATTTAACTGCAACAAGCTGTAAAGCTGCCATGTCTGAAAAGGCCTTCAGATTGAAAAGCTTTTTAACCCTTAGCAAGCCCTTCAAGGGGACTGAAGCAGATTAGCCCAAGTTGTAGCAAGCGAAGACCCCCAGTGAGGGTTTACCCCTCTAAACCATTATCATAATCAAGTGCGAGTGCAACAGCTCCACAACGCATCCGCCCACTTCTCAACACAAGGAGAACGGCTGATCGCGTACTGTTAAAGAACTGTAATGTGTGACTAATTCACTTACTAGCAGCACCATGCTTCCAAATGAGCGGTTTTTGGGGAAGGACACATCTTGAATACTCAGCTCTTCATTAAAGAAATAAATAAGCGCAAAGAATTAATTGCCTTCAAACAATGAGCAGGTGGCACTGCAGCCTGGGCCATTTACCAGCACATTCTGCTTTCTGACAGCTTGATTTAGGCTCCCAAACTTGTGTAACGGAAAGGAAAGGCAAGAACAGGGAAACTAAATGACTTTAAAAATGCTTATCTGTCACACTAAGAGCCACAGTGGTAAACTCCACAACAGAAAAGCTTCGCCCCATCCAGGGCTCCGCTCGGCTGGACTGTGCGAAAGTGTGCGTCGAAGCCTGCGCTCATGCAGGTGGCAGTCACCGCTGCGAGAGTGTGGGAGGTGGACTGAGTCACCTGCACACTTCCCAGGATCCCAGAATAGCTGCAGTGACCGTGTCTGAGTCACCAGGGCTGCTGTGAGCGCTCTGATCAGAAGACAGCAGGGGATTTGGGGAGGGAGGAGGTGCAGGGACACCACTGAAGAGCTCATGCTGGGAACAGTATATAATCCCTCTATCTTAAAGCAGCAGAACAGCACAGTCTGAACACTCCCTCCTCTTCCCCCATTTGTCTCCTGAGAATGGAGAGTTCCATAGCGGGTGGCACATCTATAGGGCCTCTGTGTCCTCCTGTGCACCACAGCCACAAAGCGGGCCGGGACGCCCTAGCAGGGCCAGCTCATCTACATGGCATCTCCCAGCAACACTGTGTCCTGTCCTCTTGGCTGCGTTAAACAGCACCTCTGAAATGGAAGCTGAGGTCAGCTGGCAAACAGTCTTGTGTGTATGTCTGTTCTTAATCATTGTCTTAGTTAGGTGCTCACAGCATAAGGGTTAGGATCCGTGTACATCTGCACTACATATGTAGAGCTTTCTTCTTTATTTTACACTTTCATTCTTATAAATAGTATAAGTCCTTTCTATGCAGCATGTCGACCTTGCAGAATTGTGCCGCGATTATTAAAATACTGCGAGAGGCATTGCAAGCTGAACCAAGAGGAATTGCGTGGTTTTGCTGTTTAGCTCAACGCCTTGCCACTTGGCCTTGGTGACCCTGGCTGGCAATAAGCTTTATGAGATAACGCATTAACATGCTGAGCCACCCGCCACTGTCATTTATCATACGGAGGGCTGTGAAATCAACTGTGTATAGACCCGATATGCAGGGAGCTCCACTGTTCCTAATTGCTGCTGTTTATGGGGGAAAACATACATAGGTTTGTTTCCCCAGACAGCAGTGATTGAGTCTGGTGTGGTGTGTAATTATGTGAAAGCGCACCGCCAGCCACCAAAGCAGCTTGT